CAGTTTGCCGAATGGCAACAAACTCGAATGGAAAGTGAAGCAACGACAGTTAGATGCATCCATTTCTACAAGATGTATTTTCCCTAGTTTTTTAAAGAATTTAGCATTATTGAAAGTAAATCGCAAAAGTCTTTTTTTCTTAAAAAATATACAGAGTGATCTTGAAAGTAACGCAATCCAACTTGAGGAAATTCTAAAATGAAATTGCAGAAATTTACAAAATAAAATTGCTTGTGAAAAGTTTCAAAATGCATAGCAATGGAAAATTGCTTCCATGCATAGCACTTCTATACTGTTACTATGTATCTTTCGACATTTAAGTTGTAGTTACGCTATTATTTTAAAGCCTGCTTCTTTGGTGCAAGATAAAAATGAACGTCTTCCAACCAAAACGAATTTTTATGATTGAGTATCAAATCGAAAAACATAAATGTAATTGCGATACCATATTTTTCGCAATCTTGTTGGTCGCTCCAACATTCCATTTTGTCAGAATTCAAACGATATCAATGGCCACATCGTTTCTGTGGTTAGCGTTTGCAATGTCTAAAAATCAGGTTACCAAATCACTGCCTTGTTAGATTCATAAATGTTTAGGAAGGTCCCTTTAAAAGCTTCGAGTTTTTCGGTAAGAATGCTTTGAGAAGTAATGCACATCATTAAAATTTTTGCTTAGAAAATTGATATCCATGTCATACAAAAGAAAAATTTTTTAAAGCTAACAATATACATTGCAACTAAAATTTCATGTAATATGTTACTTGCAATGTGTAAGGTTTATTATCCATTGGAACAATTTACCACTACTTAGCCACATTGGAATTTACATAATTTTTGAAAATATGATAAGCGCAACCTTTTACCACCATGTTTATTAATCACATATTAAAGCCGCCATTTAGTATGAAATATTTTATTTAAGGTCTCGGTTTTAATATTATTTTACTTTTTTAATTTATAATAATTTAATATTTAATGTACTTAATTTAATGTTTATTTTATTAGCCCTAAATAAACGTTATTCCCAACTGCGATATTAGTTTTGAAACGACATTTTGCTTTAAATGTGACTATAAGTGGAGTAATACTTTTCAAATTGTTGTCATTAAATATTATCTTCCTGTATTATATTTAAAGAAATTAAATAATTTGAAGAATGAAGAACTATTCCGTTAGAAGGTACTGTTCCGTAGAGCACAGGAGAAGGTACAATTCCGTTAGATCGGCGTCAGTTAAAAATGAAGATAACAGGAGAAGAAAATGCTACAACAGCAAGCCAAATATTGAGGCTTTGGGAATTTAACGTTTGAAATATCGTGGCTCAAGATTTCCAGCTTTCGTTTGAAATAATAGGGGGACCGGAAAGTAATGTCACTTTCTTACATTAAATTCAAACGAATACATTTTTAACAAGTTTTCATTTTTAATCAATAATATAATCACCCTCGTTTTCAAACAACCTTTTGCCATTAATGTAATGTGCAGATTTTTCAATCCCGGACCCATAAAAATCAATTGGTTTTTGAGTAAAATATCTCGAGAGGACATTTTGAACATCATCCAAATTTTCAAATTTTTTGCCACTAAGGCGATATCGGCCGAGTATCATGGGTGAGTATGGCAGTACCTCCCACCCCAATTCATTAATTTTTTCCAGTGTTCGTCTTGCACAGTGCGGTATTGCATTGTCGTGTTGCAGAATGACGCCTTTTCTGTTGAAAATTCGCCGGATATTTTTTCGATTAAAGATTGGCTCACTGGATCCAATTTGTTCACAATAAAGGTCTGCATTAAGAGTTTGTCCAGGTTTCAGCAATTCAAAATGAACAATTCCGCGAATACTCCATCAAACACACAGAATCGTCGGTTTTTCGGGATGTAAACCCTTTGTAATCCCTATTAAAACTGCCTTTTGAGCTTTGGATTATCATATAGGACTTATGTTTTTGTCTCCATTAATCAAACGATCAAAAAACGGTTCAGTATGGTACCGTTGAAGGAATAAATTGCATGTCATGGATAGGTTGGTTTTGTTCTTTTCGGACAAATTATGGGGGACTCAAACAACTGCTTTGTTTATTTTTCCATTCTGCTTTAAATGTTCTTGGATGGTCTACCGAGGTTGGTTAAGAGTGTTTGTCATGGATTTACTTCCACTTCTACCCTTAGCATGTTGTTGTCGACATGCGCAGAAATGACATTACTTTCCGGTCCCCCTATTATTAGGTATTTTTTGGAAGCAGTCAAAATGAAAACTGAGCAATCGAATTTTCCTGTTGAATTGTAGGTGACGTAAGTGCTAAGAAAATGTTGCTTAATAATAAAGCTAAAGAGATAAAAATATATATGTTAGTAGGAGGGAGGGTAACAGCAGACTGGTAGATTGTGACCTCAGCGAGAGCATAGAGAATAACAATACTTTTTGGGCGACCGTTAAAATCTGAAACCTATCAGGTTTATATTTTTATTTCTAATTTTATTTACTTTTAATTTTAATTTAATATTTCTTAAATATAATTTAATATTTAAATAACGTAACAACCTTTATCCATGTACGTAAGCCATTCTTCAAAGCATACAAAATAAGCAAATTGAATCTTACATGATTCAATTTTCCACTCACTAACAAATTTACGCGTAATAAAGTAAAGAATCCATGTTTTACACATACTTCGGCACAGCTCGATAGTTAGTGCAATAACCAAGGTCACAGAGAACGATTCTATTATATTAATAGCTTGCAAGCTTCAACTACGGAATGCAAAGAATGCAATAGCCGGGCATTTGAAAGTCGCTTCGAACAGCTCATCGAGAAGGATTACTCAATACAGAACGCCCAACGTAGACATTACTAGCGATCATTAACGTGAATTGTTGAAAAGAATTAGAGAAAAAGATGCTTTGAGATATTTTGCTGGAACCGCTTCTTTCTTAGAAGTGTCAAATGTGTTTCGAAAATATCGTTTCTTATTTCTAGGGATAGGGTTAAATAATGAAGAATCTGTTTCTAATGCATGGTGCTCGAATTATATAAAAACGACGGTACCTGGAGCTACCAGAACCTTAAAGCTCGAATTTTGAATTTCTTTTTTTTATTTACTTTGCATTTTGTGCAAATTTAAGAAATTCTGATTAAAACAATCAGAGATTAAAAAGCAAAGCGTTGTCACTCTGAAAAGCATGGGATATTTATATTTCAAATTTATCGGAACAAAAATTAAAAACAGATGTGTTTCCAATTGGGAAAGTGTAAGATCCATAGAATCTTTTCAAATTTAATAAAACTCAGCAATTTAAGAGAAATGTTCTCCAAATATCTTTGCATTGCGTTTGTGTTTAACGTTCCGAGTAGTTCAAAGTGTAATTACTGATTGCACTCTGTGATACGGTGAAGAGTTATATGACTACTTTTGTGGAAAGTTAAGTGTTACTTTTGGTAAAATAAATTTTATCGACCTCTTATAAATTCTGTGTGTATTTAATTTATTCCTAACCTGTACTCACGCAACAATATTACTAAGAATTGCATTTACTGCTTTTAAATCGCTTAGTGTTTTAATTGGTAGCATATATTAATTGGTAGCACATATTAAGTATGAATCCTAGGCTTTGCCAAATGGTAGCACACTGGCGAATGGGTCATAAATGTATTTTTTCGGTAGTTTCCAATCCAAAGATTTAAAAGCAGCACTATTTTTTAATCTCTGAGTTTATCAGTCAAAAATTCATTAAATTCGAACGAAATATAATATACAAATAAAACAAATTTAAAATTCAAATTTTGCACTTCGTAGGAGAATATACGTGTACAAAATTTGGTGACGCAGTTTTTTTCGTTCGTGCTGCGTGTAAGCTAATAAATAGATCCAGGGCTACGAAATTTGGTACATAGGTGCATCTAGACAAGAGCCAGTGCACCTCGAAGCGACCTTTCCAAAATTCGAATCAGAATTTTTTAATATATTTTGATGAAATCGCATATTTTGAATAGTTTTATTCTTTTAGAAATGTGGTTTTGGCAACAGTTTTTAATTCAATGTTTTGTATACTGGGCTTCTGACTGTTGAAAATATGAGATAAAATATTTATTGCTTATTTCACTGTTTTTAAGATACTATACACCGCGAAGATGACATCCGTCCTAGTTCTTGCCGTACGGAATTGAACGTCATTTCTGCGGAACTCAGTTACATTGGCATACAAGGCCTGTTGTTCAGTACATATTATTTTCTTTTGTTACAAGATATTTCGAAAAGCACAGTATTACATATGAACACTCTTATGACATAAATCAATACTATATATTAGTGAAATTATATTGTATGTATACACATATATGCATTTGGCAGTGCATTAAATGAATGCTACATTTGGTATATAAATAAGTCAAATGTGATACATTTAAGTGATGACAATCAATGTGGAAGAAATATTTTTACACTACAGAAATATATAGACATTATGCAACATTGTTATTGTATTTCATATGTTAGGTTGGCATATTTACTAATATTGGAATGAACACTTATATTACGAAAAGTTAGATAACTGTATGAACAATGTATTACACCGGATGAGTACAAATATTTGTATATGTCAAAAGTTGATTCGATGGAACAAAGATTTTTATAACAAAAGGGTTAAATAACTACATTTATGCAAAAAAAAAAAAAAAAAGATAAATATATATATATGTATATATATATAAAAAAAGAAATACTTATATCACAGGAGCTGAAACAGTGATTTAGCTATTTGGGGAATGACTGTGATGAGAGCTGTTCCAGGTTACTTTGATTTTGCAGTGCAGTAGGTAGTGATAGCATGTAGATTCGATACAGCAACATTGTTATTTTGAATATTATTCCACCCGCGCTGTGCGAAACATGGGTGCTGGTTTTTTTAGATGGAACTTCGCCGTCAAGCGGCATTAAAAAAAATAGTGGTCTGGACTGCCCACTTTCCCACAATCGCAGATGTCTGTGTTGGATAGACCAAACCTATGCAGATAGGCTTTGTACGGTCCATGTCCTGTTAGGAAATGTGACATGCTGCCAGTTTTTGCTCTGCAGATCCATGCTTACACTTGGGAGCATTGCATGTGTACGTCGACCCGTTGTAGCATCATTCCAGCGGGTTTGCCACTGTCTTATAAGAAGTTTGCATGTGGAATGCTTTAGCAGCGAGGTTGGAAGTGTTGTTGGGCACTCAAGTAAGGATGCACTATTGGCAGCTTCTTTAGCCACAACGTCTGCACTTTCATTTCCTAGTATTCCTACGTGCGCTGGCACCCAACAGAGTACAGGACGAAAAGGTATAGGAATACTAAGGAGAGTTCTCTGTATTTTGTTAACAGAGAATTTACAGTTATTTAAGAGGGCTTCTGCTGTGCATGCTTGAAAGTGCTTGGAGGCTTGAGGCGGAGTCCGTATAAATATGAACTTGATTAAGACCATTCCTACGACTGTGGATGATTGCTGCGTGTAAGGCTATGAGTTCTGCCTGAAACACTGAATTACTTTCGTTCAGTCTTCGTTTCCAGGAGAAGATAATGCTGCCTTTATCCAATTCGCAGAATCCACATCCTGTGCCAGCCTTTGTCTTAGATCCATCAGTGTATAATGCATGATCATTTTGCGCCGGAGAATCTGAGTTTATATGGATGGTGTCCATTAGGTCAAATTGTGCTGGGTGACAAAGATAACGAGATTTGTATTTTTCATAGTCTGTGTGGATTATGCTCTGTCCCCACAGTGATGTATTTTTATTAAGCCTTGTAGCTTTTATCACTGCGGCTTCCCTCTCGACTACAAGATCAAGAGGGGGAAGACCCGTAATGACTTGTAGGGCAGATGTTGGAGAAGTCCGATAGGCCCGAGAGATGACCAGAAGTTGACTTCTTTGTATGGAAAGCAAAGGTTTCATCATAGTAGAAGTGACGTTCTGGCCCCAGATGGAGGCTCCGTACAAAATAATGTGTTCTGAAATGGTTTTATACCAAGATTTCAGGAGATTTGCCGGTATGCCCCATTTCATACCTGCAGTATGTTTCATACTGTTAGTGAGATTGCCAATGCGCTGCCTGAGAATTTTAAGATGAGGAGTCCATGAAAGTTTATTATCAAAGGAGAGACCTAGGTATGTCATTTCTGAGACTGTTTTTAATGAATGTCCCTGTAGTTTTAGATAGGTTCTTCTCCTAAGGGGATGACGACGTCCTATTATAATGGCTTGCGTTTTTTCTGCACTTATTTCAAGTTTATGTTCCTTGTCTCATTGAGTAAAGATATCTAGACAATCCTGTTGGATATCGCTGCGGCCCGCTACAACAATGAGGAAATCATCAGCGTATGCCAGAATCTTGACTTGGTGAAGGTTTCTGAAACGCGCTGGAATGCAGTGTTTGCTACTAAGTTCCACAGGGTGGGACGTAAGCACGAACCCTGAGGACAGCCACGAGTAATTTTTTTGGTGATGATGTCATTATTCATCGTTATCTGTACTTCTCTGTTGTCCAGGTAATTTCTAACGAGATCTATTATCACACCAGGGCAGGAAAGAGAAGACAAGCTGCTGATAATGTCTGGCCACCAGATGGTGTCGAATACTCCCTGGATATTACTGAAAATAAGGAGGGAGTGCATGTCTGAGCTCTTATTATTTGACAGCGTTGTCATTAGATCATCCAATGCATTTTCAGTTGACATTCCGGCCCGAAAACCATACTGGTTAGGATGCAAAGCATTAGTGGTTGCAAGGTGGTGGTTGAGCCTCGTAAGGATGATACGTTCTAGCACTTTTCCAAGGGCTGGTAATAAAAAAGATGGGCCGGTATGATCTTGGTATACCCGGATCCTTCCTTTTTTTGCAGAAGAGAGCTACTTCTGCCACTTTCATTCCTTGTGGAAAATGACATTGCCTCCAACATGCATTGAAGAGGGAGTGTAGTAGGGAAGGAAAGTGCTGGTAGATGATTTTGATAATCATATTATCTAGCCAGGGGCTTTCTTAGGAACTAGGTATTTTATTATGTGGTTAAGCTCATATGTTGTGGGAAGTGGCTCTTTTCTTTGCTTTGTTGACCACCTGCGTTTGTTGAAGAGCTGCCTTGCATGCCTTTGTGCTGCCGAACTATCTTCATTGTTATCTGTGTGAAATATGCAGTCCATAATTCGTCTCGCCACGTCTGAACCTGACTTAGCAGAAGGTAGGAGTGAGGCTGTCAGCATTGTTGATCGAAATACTTTGTCGCAGGCTATTTTCTGCACTACAATATAAGTTTTCGTCGCTGTGGAACAGTAGTGCATCCAAGAAGAGAGTTTTGCTGCCGTAATGTTGTACTTGCATATAATTGTATTGCGCCCTGGCCTTTGCAAAATTCCAGCATGCGTTGACTTCTAAGTGGCTGCTCTGTTGTTGCTTGTGCTTTCTGCTGCACAAAGCCTGGATTTTGCTACGTTCTGCATTTAGTGTAGGAGTCCACCAAGAAAGGCTTTTGGTTGCAAATATGGCCTTCTTGCGAAAGGTATTATCGCAAGCTTTTGTTAAGTGTTGCACAAGTTGATTGTAATGATAATCAAGTTGCTCTGGGCTTTGACAATTATCTAAGTTTGCTTCAAGACTTGCTATGTGCGGTTGGAGTTGAATTCTGAATGCTTCATGCCCACCATGGCATGTTTTGTAGCGACGTTTTATGAAGTAGGTATACGAGGTTCCCAGCTGAAATGTGATAATGCGGTGATCACTGACAGATGGTAAGTCGCTGACTTCCCAGTTCTGTATTAATGCTGCTGTATTAGCTGATGCAATTGTTAAATTGGGCCAGCCTTGTGCCCGTGTGGTACAGAATGTTGGCTTTGACTCTGGGTCATTGAGAATAGTCAGGTTATAAGACATTACAAATTCTTGCACTATTCTTGCTTGTGGAGTTTCCAAGTGTGCTCCCCATTGTGGGCTGGTTGCATTAAAGTCTCCTCCTATTATTCTATGTGTGGGTTGAGTTGTTAGCCCAGTTTCTAATTCTGCTAGTGATGTTGCCATATAAGCTCTGGGCGGGAAGTAGATAGACGTAATTTCAAGTGAGGTTGCAGCTGACTCGAGTAGCACAGTGACTGTGTGATCTGTAGTTTTCTTATGGACTGGTGTTAGTGGGCCTTTATAAATTATAGCTGCTAGGCAGTTTGCGGACAGGAATACTTTGAAGAGTGTTGGGATTCCTGGTATATATCCATTTAAAGTGTAAGGTTCTTGTAGAAGGCCTACATCTGCTTGGAGTTGTGTCATTGCCTGAATTGCATTTAACGTGGCTGCTTTTGAGCGTTGTAGGTTGACCTGCATAAAATTTAGATTGTTAGCCAGTTTTAGAAGCGGAGATGTGGGGTCTATTGTTTGTTCGAGGCTTTCGACTTGCTGTCGAGAACTGCTCTGTATACTGGACATGTTGAAGAACTTGCTAAGTGATCTTTTGAGAACTCTGTGCCTTTTGTGAAATTAGAAATATGGCATTTGATACAGTTAACTTCTTCTGACTGACAGTCTTGCACTAAGTGACCTTTTCCACACTTGGAGCAAGAAGGTGCGGCTCGGCAACTTTTACTAATATGGCCAAATTGTTGGCAATTATAACAACGTGCTACTCGAATGTAAGAGCGAAAAGGACAAGACACAAAAATCTATGAAAACCTTGCCCTTTGCTAGCAGCTTTCTGCCTTGATACCAGATTCTATGTCTAAGATCCAGTTTATGTTGCCGTCTAGTCCAGGCAATGACCTCTTGGGAGAGATTTTACTTGTTGATGACGGTGGCAAGAGGTCTTTAAGCGCTTCACAGACTATTTTTCCTCAGTCGCTTCTGGTGGGACGCCAAAGATAATGATGGATTCTCCTGGTGGTTTGGGTTCCCGTAATGTGAGGCAGTCACTTAATTGTGGGTGTTCTTCAATTGCCTTGCGAAGTCTAGAGATATGTGTGCTCTCTCTGCACCTGATCAGCAATTCCTTTGAATTGTTGGCCGAATTTGAACTATTGTGAACCCTAGTTGTGAGGGCCGGAGTTCTGCAACTAATTGGGATTTAATATTCTCTGGGGTGTGGCTAGAGCCTTTAGCGCTTATTAACAGCACGTGAGGGAAATGTTCAGTCGGAATTACTGCAGTGGGGATATTACTTTGATGCTGATGTTGACGGACAATTTTTCTTCTTACATACGGGGTGTGACTTCGATGAACGGTGTGTCATTGGCATTGAATTTCAGGTGCGCCTAAAGGAGCAAAATCTATCTGAGCAGGAGTGCGCTGAACTTGCTGAGGTAGCAATTCTTGGAAGCTTTCTGAGAAGTTCCGCAACTGCCATAGAGAGAACTGCAATTGTCCTTCAATTTGACCCTGTAAGCGGGAAGATATGCAGTTCTTGTTCTGTGAGGATGCTTCTCACGCTAAAGACAAATGCTTGTAATAATTCTCTATCCGATTTACTAAATCTGTTCTGCAGATTAAAATTATGTGCTGGAGGAAACTAAGTCTAGTATCTTATCACACTCTGTGTTCAGTATCTGTAATCTTGAGGATGCTTGGCTCGTTAGTAAAAGAACGAGTGAGAGGAGCTGGTGGTGTTTGAATTGGAGAAGTGGAATTCGCAGGTGAAGTTTCATTAGTTGCCATAAGTACAACAACAACAAATGAAATAAAATAAACAATTTAAAGAAAATTTAAATGAAAGATTTTTTTAAAAAATTATTAATAAAGAAAAAGCAGATGAATGGTGCGATGGCCGTTGCTAATTGCTGAACTCCTGAGATTCCAGTATTATTGGGAAGTAATTACTAAAGTACAAGAGGAATATTGATGTGCTAAGAAGACACTGAGTACAATTTGAATTTAAGCGTACTGTACTTAATTGTGATTGGCAAAATTAATTAAAAAAAGATATGGGGAAGCAAAATACAGTAATGTTCAACTAACAAAACATACTCTTATACATTAATAATACAAGCATACAATAACTAAAGCATACAAACAATAAAATGTGTAAGATGTAAATTATTTTTGCAACGGGAATTTGACTAATTTATTTATTCGCATAATTAATATTTGTACTAAAAATATTGCTTATTTCATGCTGCTTATTTTCTTTTGATTTTTGGACACGCAACACGCACAACGCAATCTTCTTATTCTGACGGGCATGTGTCTCGCTAGGCACAACAGAAAGAATTTCCGTTTTTACTCTCTCTCTCTCTTTATTACTTAATGGCAAAGAGGCTTTTATATTTTGAATTATGTCATCCACAAAGCACAATTTTGATTGATTATTGCTTTCTGACGATAGATTCATTCTTTTAGAAATGTGGTTTTTAGCAACAGTTTTTTATTCATTGCTTTGGATACTGGACTGCTGACTGTTTTCTCTCGAAAATATAAAATTTATTGCTTATTTCATCGTAATTTTTATATTACGTTTTAATTATACGTAATTTTAATTATATAAAAAGTTTTGCATGATTTTTTTAGCAAACAAAGTTCTTAAATTCCTTTATACCATTTGAATATTTAAGATTGTGCAACGGGAAGTTGGTTAATTTATTTATTAGGATAATTAATATTGTATTAAGGGATATTGCTTATTTCATTGTAATATTTTTAATATGTGATACATTTTTATTGAATTATATTTATTTATTTATTTATTTTTGGTAAAGTTGTTTTGCCAGATTAAAATTATGTGCAGTTTTTAAATTTAATGTTTGGTGTTCCCTTTAGGCATTTTTGTAGTACATTTAAAAGCCAGACGAAGGCTGGCCGTATAGAGGCTAGTTTACTAATAAACAGGTATTAAAATTTAACCCATTAAAAGTATCCACCGTAATATAATTAAATATTAATAATCAATTCTCCTGGGAATAGCCTACTGAATGGGATTTTCGGTTTTCTCTGAGCTCAAGTGAAATCCTTCTAGATTCTGTCTGGGAAATTTTTGTAAAGGTGTTCATGTATGTGTCTATTATGCTTCCATAATTAATTATCCTTTAAATCACTCAACAATCAGCCGATTTCTGCGTGAGTGATAAAAAAACTAAAGGCAATAAAGTCTAGCCATATATTTTGCTATTCTGATAAAAATTGGAAGATTGATTGTAACTACATAATGCGAACCCTAAATTTTCGAACGTTTTCATTTTGTAGAATTCAGGAAACGAAGCTATATCACAAGAATCAAGAACTAATTTCCAGATTATTCTTAATAGGAAGTAACCTTTATTTCATGATTCCCATTTCAAGTTACGTTAACTGAAGATATAAGTTTTCATTTCTAGTTTTAAAAACATCCGAAAGGTTTCAGATTTTAACTGTCGCCCAAAAGGGTTTCTTAAGGTTTTTTACGCTCTCCCTGAGCTCGCAGTATACCAGTCTGCTGTTACACTCAATTCTATTAACTCATTTTTTTTTTGTCGTTTTAGCTTTATTATGATGCATAATTTTCTTCTTACTTATCCCATATATAACTCAACAGCAAAATTATGAAAAGTTTAGAAGCAGCATAGCAATAAACATTTAGAATTTCCGATGCAACGTTAAATATTGGCATAAATTTTTCAGTTTTTTTTGCAATGTTCAGTTTTCTTACTGAAATAGCTTTAGGAAACATTTTTTTTTGTCTTTTTATTATTAACCTTTTGTGCATTCACTTTATTTTTTAAATATCAGGGTATTGGCGCTTACACCACATAAAATTCTATTCAATAGCAAAATGAGAAAATATAAAAAGCAACATTTCTTTAGAATTTGGAACAGACAGTCTCGCAAAAATGTTCTATTCCGTACAGTGTTGCCACTGCTTTCTTTAAAATCGCTGAGTTTGCTAATAAAAAATTCATTAAAGTTTTCCAAAATATGAAATAGCTAATAAAACAGATTCGAAATTCAAAATTCGGGCTTTCAGGTGCCCATGTTCTGGTGGGGGACAACGTTATTCAAAATTGGACGAGTTTAGATATCGTTTTTTTCCACAGTGCGAGAAACATGCATACATTTACTTAGATTCTTCCTTATAGAATTTCGTTAAAAGTAATACAGGGCGATCATAACTTGTGGCAACAATTTGAAAAGCGACACGCTGTTTATAGTGATTCAATACAAAATGCCGTTTCGAAACTAATAATCGATTAGGGACTTAATGTCCCTTTTGGGCTAAAAATGAAAGAATCTGTAAATATTGTATGAATTTACGTACGTATTGTCGGAAAACGGCAACACCTACAGACATGCGATAATAAATATGTATAGTTCTCCAACAGAATATGTACACCTCCAAACCGGAATTTTCAATTTCGAATTTGGTATTTATTTATTTCGTATTTTAGGCAAATTTAGTAGATTATTTATTTAAAATCTCGATGGTTAAAACCATTTTGTTGCCAATGCACTAAATAACATA